TAGCCAGCATGTGTATTTCTCGGGGGGCGTTCGAGTCCAGTTTTGAATAGTCTGCCGTGGTTTCGTTCCATTTCAAAGAGCTTGACGCTCGGCGTAACCTTGGCGCACTGCCACTCAAACATCACGGGGTTTGTCAACGGGACTGTAGTCCCAAACGATAGCTGGGGATTATGGGTAGTGTAGTGTCTTCGGCCATCCTAAATCTCGAAATGTCCCGTCTGTTTCTGGTGACTTTATTTACGGCTAAAAAGCCCAAGATTATAGAATTAAACAAATAAATAAAAACAAGGATAATTGTGTGTTATTGTTGAGTAAATAACAGTGTGTTATTTAGAAAAGAATAACAAATTAGAAGGAAAAGATTTTAAAAAATACAGATTTCAGTATTTTGAGGCTCTAAACCCCATTTATTTTCCTCACAGACGTTTATACGATTTAAAATAAAAACAAATAAATAAAAAGATAAAACACTGGCATGTAATTTACGTTAGAATACATAGAATGGTTTTGAATAATAGATGATAGTAAAATCTACGTCACTTTACAGCCCCGCCCACTTTTGGGGAAACCAACGCTGTCATTTGAACGGCGATCAAGCCTGAAGCCACAGAGCTCTTCTTTTACTGTCTTTTCTTCTTAGAGGAAGTACAGAAACACGTAACTCTGGATTTGTTTTAATCTTTGAGGTGCAATAAACGACACAGCAGCTTTTTGTCATGTTAAAACTATTATTTTCTGCCTCGCTCATGAGAGTAACAGCTGCCGAAATTACAGCCTCGCCTACTGATTTTAATTTAACCATATATCGAGCCCGATTCTCGATTTCAAATGTGTGCTCTAAAATTATATTTATAAATGACTATTATCATTATTATAAGCAAGACAATAAATGGCAAAGATATGTAGAAAATAAACGTATTTTAGATACGTTCATAACGAACGTAACGTGGGAGTAAATACGTTTCAAGCTAAACGTAATTCAGAATGCAGTTTAGTTCTGTGGGAACGTAATTTTTAGGAGACAGGGTTGCCTAGTCGCCACCATGGTGTGCTGTGCTGCCTCCTAGTCTCCACCATGGTTTGCTGTGCTGCCTCCTAGTCGCCACCATGGTTTGCTGTGCTGCCTCCTAGTCTCCACCATGGTTTGCTGTGCTGCCTCCTAGTCTCCACCATGGTTTGCTGTGCTGCCCTCCTAGTCTCCACCATGGTGTGCTGTGCTGCCTCCTAGTCGCCACCATGGTTTTGCTGTGCTGCCTCCTAGTCGCCACCATGGTTTGCTGTGCTGCCTCCTAGTCTCCACCATGGTTTGCTGTGCTGCCTCCTAGTCTCCACCATGGTTTGCTGTGCTGCCTCCTAGTCGCCACCATGGTTTGCTGTGCTGCCTGGGGATGCTCCAATCGCTCAGAGAAAGGTGTACGAATGTACGGCTTCCCCACTGACACAGAGCGGAGGAAGCAGGAGCAATTTCACAACCAACAGCAAACAAATATGTGATTTATATACAAACACTGCATTTGCACTTTTTCACAAAACGAAAACCACACCATTGGGAAAGCTTAATGTTTTGTTTAATACAAAAAACAGGGAAAGGCTTGAAAAACACTGAGAGTTGAGACTCAGGGTGCAGGGTGAGGGTCTCAGTGCAGGTATTCAGGCTCCATTGAATCCCCCTCTGGTTCTTGTGCTGAAAGAGGGAGTAACAGACAGGAGAAAGGGTTATACACACCTATATAGCACACCTATTGGATGGGAAATTGCCTTGGGGAGATAAGGTGTGGTCTTTGTTCCCAACTGAAGTTATGGAACTTTATTATTTGTGAGTTTAACAAAGTATGACAAATGGCATCAGTAACATATGTGATATGAATTTCTATAAAGTTGTCTCACATTCTTGGTCATATTGTATATACAGTATGTAATGAGTATAACATGTCCAGTAAGTATAAAGTGTTTCCTAATACTGTGTATTCAACCACTATGGAATATGTATGTGGGCAGACAAAACTGAGTTGTTCTGTGTGTGAAGTAACCTCAAGTCACTCCGCAGGCACATTTTGATGCAGACCAGTTTGTCAAGACAAAAAAGGGCAAGACTAGGCTGAGAGCAGAGGCTATACCCACCATCTTCGTGCATCGCCCTGTGGTCAAAAAGAGAAGGGCCCCTGCACCACGATTCACCCCGGGACCTGTATCTACAAAGCCCATAGCTCATGATCACAGCGATAGTGTGAAAGGTGACACAGGTATAATAAGTATGAACTCTTAGTAACAAAAGTAATATTTCTTATTTTTAAGTGGTATAATATTTTAAATGTTCGAACATTTACAGTGCCATGTCTTCTACTTACATTAGTCTCAAAGATTGAGGGAAGAAGGGAAGGGATCACTGCCCTCCACCTGCCAGAGGAGCGCAAACAACAAAAACAAGCAAGGTGTCCCGTCATGTACCTGGAAGTTTGGGTTGGCAAAATGGAGTAAGAGAGGGACTTGAAAAACCTTGGTGGCTGTCTACTCATGTTGTTACAGTTGTCTTGGTTACAGCTCTCAAGTGTTTTTTTGTGCCATTTCCACATCTTTAGAAAATATGAAAAAATGGAAGTGAAATCAACCTCTTCTCTGGAGAACAAACTTTGATTTCTCTGTCTTGTGAGTTTGCAGTCTTGCAGTTTTGCTCCTCCACCTGTAACATCACTGCCCCTCCACCTGCCATACAGTAGGTTACTAACAAGATTACTGATATAATACATGTTTAGTATGCTTACTTATATAAAACAGTAGTATTAAACTTACCTTGTGTGTTCACTCTCACTTAAGTCCCTCTCCCTTTGCCATCAATCCAAAATCAGCTGAGCTGCAACATTATACACACAGGTAATAATCAACATAATCACAAGGACACAATATGGCTCTGCTAAAAACACTCACTCTTACACGCACCAAAGTTATATTTATCTAATATTTAACTCCCTCCACCCCCGCATACAATCCCGTTTAGAAGCCCCTCTTCTCTAATTCAACAACGTTGGACCAAATAGACATTAAGAGAACGGAATTTACAATTAAAAGGCTGTTCAACGTGTGTTGCTAACTTGCTTCGGTATCCTAGCTTGATCTGTTATCTGTAAACGTTCCCTAAATCTACTAATTTAGGGACAATCCACTGACATCCTTTAATACACATGTTCAATTGAATCAGATGTACTGATAATATCCGCAATATAAATCTTTAAACTTCTTCTTACCTTTAAAAGTCCGTCACGAACGGTCTATTATGCTGCAACTCCACAGCTCTGCTAGCCTTGGCGCTAACTTCCGGGGAACGATTGAGAGGCTCCACGATCCGCCATTGCTGTAAAAAAGTGGTCCATTGGAGTGAACGGAGATGTCATAACTCTTCTATTATATGGCTCTGCGTTAACCTACTCTTCAAGAACTTCAAGAACAAAAATGGATAGCAGGAAAAGCCTGGTTTATACTTCTCCGTGAGCGCGTTAGCGAACGGAAATGTTCATTTGGTGCTGATGTTCGCACAGTGGTTTGCCATCAGGGATGCAAACTTGTCACCTTTCGGCAAAATTCGCCGTTTTGAATCCAAAATAGGTCGTTTGTGTGATTCATGTAGATCTGCAATAAAAATATTTTTGGGGTATGGGGGGATCTGGGACCCGGAGTAATCTGCGGCCAACAATCAGGAGAGATATTTGATAGTTGGTGCTTGAGAAGACTAAACATGTATCTGCAATTGACATGAATGGAAACGAGTAATAAAGTATATTCATTACTCGTTATTCTCTACTAATAGTTCATTAAAGACTGTATATTATGGCTATTTTGCACATCCCTTTCAAGATTTTCAAAGGTGTATTGACATATCATATACACAACTACGGTGTAGTTATGCAATGAATTAAACACTTGGGTCACAGGTTCCTCAACAGTGCATTACAAGACATCTATCAATATGTGTGAACCTCCACCATTAAACTGTCATATTCTGCACATTTCTTATTCTATCTACATACATACGAGTATAATTCATATGTATAATATCAGTTAAAATAAGTGCTTCAACATAGTTAACATTGCAGGAAAGCAATATATTAGACGTTAAGTACTTTGTCAGGCTTAATATTTATCTGTAGATAGATACCCCCAACGTTTTTTTCTTATTTAAAAGAAGACCTTAATCTGTTATTTAATGTTTAAATAAAGGTTAATTCGTTTTTCTGTTTTGCACCTCCTCCTATTAATATCTTTGTACATGCTGCACTAAACTGTTTTATTGTAGAGATCACTTTATAGTATCTTCTTGATTTTTTATATTCTATATTTCTATATTTATACTTTCCCCCTATGAAGTATGTACTCTTAATATTTTTTTAATCAAACTATAATTCAATAACGTGCTTTAAACCACTAGATGCACACAAGGTACACAAATGTTTTTCCGGATTTCATATCATATAAACAACCAAATCCCAGCATGCATTGCGGCTAAAACATCCAATAAGCGAGCTTAAAACCATAGCTGAGGGATCTTGGGTAATGCCCTATGTCCGGTTATTTTTATTTTGAAATTCAGTCCCTGACGGAGGCCAAAAAAGCCCGAGATTATGGAATTAAACCAATAAATAAAATCAAGGATAATTGTGTGTTATTGGTGAGTAAATAACAGTGTGTTATTTTTGAAAAGAATAACAAATTAGAAGGAAACAAATATTTAAAAAATACAGATTTCAGTATTCTGAGGCTCTGAGCCCCATTTAGTTTCCTCACAGACGGCAACAAAAGTCCGAAATTATACGATTTAAAATAAAAGCAATAATTGTGGCTTGATATTGAGTAAGAACATGTTTTTATGAACCACACAGCTTCAGGTCTTCCTCGACCCGACCGGAGAAAAAGACGTGCTGCAAGCAGTAGAAATACATTGCTTTTAAAATCGTGCTGTGCAACACGAAAAAAAATCGTGCTGTGCAACACGAAAAAAAGGGGCAAATCGTGTTGGGGAACACAAATCAATAGATTAAAAATCGTGTTGGTGAACACGAAATGCCGTGAGACTGGGTTGTAATGTTTTGGTTTATGAGTTCACCACACTGATGTAGCCAGAAACATTAGGATGCTAAGTGAATGGGAAAGTGTGTCTCAAACTTTTTACTGGAGCTGTATGTATTTAGGTTTACCACCACATTAAGACTTGTTTTATTCTGTGAATGCACGTCCAGCTCCTCCACTGCAGTATCAAAAAGGTTATTGCGTTTAGACAGTAACCTTTCCCTAGCCTGTAAGCACATGAGAACAGTCGCAGCTGCCTGTAATGAAGGCAAACAGTGTATCACATTGTTTCCTGCAGCTTAATCTGTGATTCTTACAGAGGTGGTGGTGTGTGCAGCAGCAGCACAGGTAACGGTCCAAGACAGGAGAAAACAGGTTGGTAGAAAACGAGTTGTAAAGCAAAGTTATTTATATTTACCTTTGCAAGACGACTATGTGCCTTTTTCAAAAATACACTACATCTTGATATGGTTACATTGTTTTGATTGCAGTGGTATATGGAACTGGACAGTTCTGTTTTAAGGTTGTGGAGAGCAGTGTGAGGAGAGGTTGACACTGAGTGGTCCTGTGAGTCAGGAACAACTGGTACATAAAAAACAATGACAGTTTTAAGAATAGCACACTTCTACTTCATACTAGCCCAAGGAAGCCCCACAGGTGTGCTCAATTTAAAAAGAGTGTGTGCATGCGATTGCAGTGATGAAAGTGAAACATGCGTAGAGGGTACATTTGAAAGCAAACTAAGTGTAGTAAAAGTATGCCATATTCAAATCAACCAATGTGTTTTGCAGATGTGTAAAGTAGAATATGTATTGCATAATTTCCTTAAGTCTTGTTTGTGTTATAAGTTAATGAAAGCAGGCTTTAGGTTTCTGCAACAGTATTCTGATATACATTTCATATTTACAGGCTGGAAATGAATACTTGCACATGGTCAAGGACCTTGCAGAGATGAGGTATGAATTCAGTTGCATAGCGTTGTCTTGTTAATTTGCATCTGAACAGTTAACTTGAGTTTTGACACCACACAGGGAAAGAGCATTACATCGTTGAATCTCCACTTGACTCCAGCTTGGGCTGTTTGACCTGCCCATATTGTTACGATTGCATGGGTTTTGTATAATCTGTCGGTCATGTTCCCATACACCACCACATTCACTGAAATAATTCTGTTCAGACTGCAATGTTTCTTTTGGTTTACCAGATGTGTCTGAGAGGATCATCCCAGGGCCTGCAAAGACTACATTTTCAGACAAATAGCTTTTTAGTACTTTACATATAATTGTACCATCTCATGAATGTTTTTTTCTCTGGCCTTTTTTAACAGGCATGATGGACTGGAAGGGTTTGCCAGGCAGTATTGGGCTTGAACGCAGGGTGCCATTTGTGTTAGCGGACAGAAACCGAGATATTACTCGAACATTTCCTGGGACAGTGCCCTGACAGCCAGCACCCAGATTACGTTTCTTTAGTTGGGAACCTTCTTTTTTATTTGTGACGCCCCTCACATTTATGTTACAGCTAGTGTTTGTTTGAAGGCCTGAATGATACCTCTGTTGATTTGTTAATGTAATATGTATAAAGATTGTTTTAGGAAGAATGGATGAGGGTCAGTGAAACATTAAGGTGTGATAGTGCTTTACTGTCCACACCACAGTTCACCAGTGTAGAACTCTACAGGTCTTTAGTACAGGTCTGTGGATGTTGGAGGTCTACACTAATCCAAAAGTAAGGTGAGGTACGTTTATTTGCACATTTCAGACGCAGAGGCAATTCAAAGTGCTTTCCATGATTATTAAAACATGATAGTAGAACAGAGAGGAACACAATAAATAAACATAATGCAATAACAGTTTCATAAAAACAATGCATTAATGAGATATAAAAGAGTTTAAAAACGACATTGTAAATATGGTAAGTGCTAAAACAAGTTAAAAGGCTTCTGGGTAAGCTGTAAAAAGTAGTGTTTTTAGCATCGACTTAAAAGAACTCAGCGTTGGTGAAGACCTCAGGTTTTCTGGAAGTTTATTCCATTTGTGGGGAGCATAAAAACTAAAAGCAGCTTCGGCGTGTTTGGTTCTGAGGCGGGGAGTAAGTTCCAGGGACAGCTATACATCTGAAATGCAGAATTGATCTACATTGTTTAATTACATTGTGAAAAGGTACCTTCTCAGAAGGCAACACAACAAAAAGGTGCTCCATTAAATGTGTTTTCCTTTGGTCAATCATAGATAGGAAAGGTATGAATCATGACTAAATCAAGGATGAGGATGTCAACTACTTAATGTTCAATAAATAATGCATTACTTATTGAATTGCTTTACATTGGGCTGTTACAGGTCCCTTTAGACATGATAGTCTGGTTACTCATTGCTACTGCCTATCCACTATTGGTAAGATGATATGGGGGGCTGATGTAGGCTTTTGATGATGGGCTCTGTTTAAAAAGAAATACATATACAGTAAGAGTTGAATACATATACATTAAGGGTTGAATAAATATACAGTAAAGGTTGAATACATATACATTAAGGGTTGAATACATATACAGTAAGAGTTGAATACATATACAGTAAGAGTTGAATACATATACAGTAAGAGTTGAATACATATACAGTAAAGGTTGAATACATATACAGTAAGAGTTGAATACATATACAGTAAGAGTTGAATACATATACAGTAAAGGTTGAATACATATACAGTAACAGAGTTGAATACATATTCAGTAAGGGTTGAATACATATACAGTAAGGAGTTGAATACATATACAGTAAGGGTTGAAGTACATATACAGTAAGGGTTGAATACATATACATTAAGGGTTGAATACTGTTAGAGATTTTGGAGGGATATCTGGTCCGCTTTTCAAATCTCCGCGCGTTCCTATTGAAGCTGTTTATAATACAGGAAGGAATCCATATCTACAAAGTAACCGTTAACAATAATCTACTTTAATGGCAATATGACAATGCAATACAACATTACAATACCAACATGATATATTACAGTTATATTGTAATGCTTAAGGAGTAATGCCGGCTTACTCCTGCCCTGGTCCGCATACTGCAGAGCTACTTTCACACCCGAGGGCAGCAATGTGAAGAAGAGGGCCGAACGCCAGGGGATCCACCGGATATATACCAGAGTAAGAAGGAGGGGTTTGGTGTTAGGTCAGCTGGTCATCTTTTCAGGTCATCTCATTGGGAGACGCAACGCAGCAGTAAACGCAGCAGGAAACCAAACAGGCTCACTTTCCAACAAAAGGTCTCAAGGCCTGCATACCTACAACCTCCCCCACAGAGGCCATAAAACCCTGTTTACTCCACCAGCCCAGAATGTTTATAGCCATTTTGTAGTCCTTACATTTATGAAAGGATAAAAACAGAGAAATCAATATAAACACAAACACAGGTATTGTTTGAACAGTATTCACTTAACTGCTACTGTTGATAAGCACCAGAGAAGAAACCCAAGAGACCTCTCTTAATAGCACAACCACTGTAGCTCGTTCTAAGTTGAATGCAAATCAGGACATGCTCTCACCTTCCCCCATCTTCCTTTGTCCTCAAAAAACACATGTCAACAGGCCCCAAATGCAGCTTCACAGTTTTTACCCAAATTATTCCCATTTTAAGCTTATCCATAGTTTGCTAACATGATAAATACAAAATAAC